TCCAGAACTGTGAAGGAATAAGTTTCTGTGGTTTTACATATGATCCAGCACTTCCAATTCTGGGTATTTATCAGAAGAAATGCAAAACACTAGTTCAAAAAAGATATATACAGCCCTATGTTCACTGCAGCATTATTTATAATAGTCAGCTATGGAAGCAACCTAAGTGTCCATCAATAGACTATTGGATAAAGAAGATATAAATATATATAATGAAATATTACTTGGCTATAAGAAATAATGAAATATCGCCATTTGTGTCAACATGAATGAACCTAGAGATTATTATGCTAAATGAAGCAAGTCTGACAGAGAAAGACAAATACCATATAATTTAACTTATATGTGGAGTCTAAACAAAGAAAGTGAACAAACCTGAAACAAACTCACAGATAAAGAAAACAAATTGGTTGCCAGAAGGGAGGGGGTCTTGAGAGCTGGGAGAAAAAGGTGGAGAGATTAAGAAATACAACTTTGTAGTTAGAGAGTAGTCTTGGGGATGTAAAATACAACACAGGGAATATAGTCAATAATATTCTAATAACCATGAATGGTGCCAGGTGAGTACTGGAAATATTGGGGGAGAATACATTGTAAGTTATATAAATGTCTAATCCTATATAATAAAACCGTAATATGCAAATAGAGCAAATGGTAGAACTACTGGTCACTATGACATGCACTGACCACCAGAGGACACATGCTCAATGTAGGAGCTGCCCCCTGATGATCAGAGTGTTCCCATAGGGGGAGCACTGCTCAGCCAGAAGCTGGGCTCATGCATGGTTGGCAAGTGCAGTGGTAAGGAGTGAGGGGTCCTGGACTGTGAGAGCCCCAGACTATGAGAAGACACAGAGCAGGATGAGGGGGAACCACCCCCCAGTGCATAAATTTTGTGCACTGGGCCTCTAGTCATTATATAATATACACCTGAAATTAATGTAATATTGTATTGAAAAAAATATATGAAGAAGAAAAATGATTCTGTAATTTTCTCACCCAATTAGTGGTACTTTTTATAAAAGATGTTTTTATTGATTTTGGAAAAAAAGAAAGGGAGAGGGGATAAAAAAGGGAGAGGGGGAAAAAAAGAGAGTGTAATATCAATGATGAGAAAAATATTGATCAGCTGCCTCTTGCATGCTTCCTACTTGGGATCCAACTCAAAACCTGGGAATGTGCCCTGACCAGCACCTCTTGGTGCATGGGATGAAGCTCAATCACTGAGCCACTATGGCCAGAAAAGTGGTAATTTTTTTTTTTTTTTAGCAGCAGCCCTTGGAAATAAATGCACTGTTCTTAAACGGGGTCAATTAAATTTTAGACCACATGTGTCAAACACAAGGCCCGCGGGCCAAATCCGTCCCGCCAGGCCTTGCAATGTGGCCCGCACCGCGCTGTCATCACTGCACTCCGCTGCGTTTCCATCACAATGACAGTTTATGACTGTTCAGTAAACCCTTCGGCCCGCGATTTAGGCTGGATTTTAGATTTTGGCCCCTTCTCTGATTGAGTTCGACACCCCTATTTTAGACCATGCCAGGAAGGTTTTGTGTTGTTTTTCTTTTACTTTATTTTTTTCTTTTCTATCCTCAATTACAGTTTTTCTTTTACTTTAAATTTTTTTCAATTACAGTTCACATTCACTATTATTATTATTGTTTTTTAATATATTTTATTCATACAGAGACTAAGGGAGAGGGATAGAGAGCCAGAAACATCGATGAGAGAGAAATATCGATCAGCTGCCTCCTGCACCCCCCCCACTGGGGATGTGCCCACAACCAAAGTACATGCCCTTGACCTCAAACCTGGGACCTTTCAGTCCGCAGGCCGATGCTCTATCCACTGAGCCAAACCAGTTTTGGCTCAATATTATTTTTTATTAATTTCAATCTACAGTATAGTGGTTATACAATCATATATTTTACAGAGTATTCCCCCTGATATTTCTAGTACCCAGTGAGCATCATACATAATTATCACAATATTATTGACTATTTTCCTATGCTGTACTTTAGTTCCAGTGACTATTTTGTAACTACCAACCTTACTTCTCAATTCCTTCACCTCTTTCACACAGACCACCAAACCCAGCTGCTCCGCATGCCAGGCAGTTATTAAGGTCCTTGACTACTATTGAGTTTGGGGTTTTGACTTTGTGAGCGTAGATGCCACAGAGACCTCAGCTACCACACAAAATGAAATATAAGAAAACTCTACTCAAATAACTCAGAGCACCTAATAATGTTTCCTGTGCAAATGATGGGTTTTGGAACCACTTTTTAGTGGGGGTTTTTGTTTGTTTCTTTGTTTTAGTTTCTTGTTTATGTATATCTCAAATATTTCATGTCAAAAAGAGGAGAGTTAAATTTTTCAATCATTTTGATTATGTTCATTATTAGACAATTCAAAATGTGGGAATACTACTATGTGTGGAATTAGTAGATGTCCGCCTTTTAGCCAGGTTTAAATCCATTTGTGGACATCTGGGTTACATCTCCCCCAGCAATATTTCTAATTATTAGCTATTTAGCTATTATACATTCTACTACAAATTCTGCTAAAATCTCAGTGGTAATAAATAAACATCATTATTTTCATCCATGGTATATTTATTAGCAGGCTAATATCAGTGATCAATTGCTCATCATTCTTTAAGAAAGGCCAGCTACGGGAGTGTTCATAATAGCATTAGGGATAAACAATTAAGGTGCTTGTATCGCAAATGTTAAGACTGGCTAGGATAGGAGAAGGAAATGTAGTATATAGTTAATCTCATAATTCTGCTTTATTGGCACACACAAAGAGGCAGAAATATAGAGACTCGTTCTACAGAAATAAACTTTCAGCCTTATGTTCTGAAGCAGCAGTGTTTTGGTGTTGAACACTTATGGGGCTCTTTTTTTGTGTGTGCCATTTTCATCACTCTGCTTCTCTGGCCATCATGCTCACAACACCAGGTGTTTCCACAATTCCACACAGGTGGGCAGTTCACTCATTCGGAAATGATAAAGGGTTAGAATGTTCAGAAAGTCAGGAGGTGAGAATTTGCTGGAGACTTTCCAAAAGACGCCATTATTAGTGGTAGAAATTATGCAAGTAGTACATTTAACATTCACTTTTGTAGGGAATCAATTTATTCAACAAATCTAACTAGGAATTAAAGTAGACAAGTTAATAAGATTTTGCAGAAATAAATTAAAACCTCTATGTATTTTGGTTGCTTGCAAATCTGAAACCCAGTGTTCCCAGATACAGATATTTCTGTTCAGCATTATGAGAATTTGGGGAAAAAAACCTTATTTTCAAACTGTAGTGGAAGAATCACATTAGAAAGTGTTATTGCAATATGAACATTTCTGCATTTTTTTGTTTTTACTTAGAATGTTACAATTATAACTGAGTCTTATTAGAGAAAATATGAGCTTATGCAATTTATATTTAGAAAAAAAAGTGGAAGCCAAGTGGGTTGGGACAGTCAGAAGCCCAGGAGTGTGTAGGAGATTATTTAAACTCTCTGAAAGCAAGAGACATGTAGTGGAAGAAGGGCAGGAAATTCAGTGCACACACTTTGATAGTATCTTTAAATAATGGTATACATTCTCTTTCTGTTGTTATTATTTAAAGCCAGCTAGTAGGCAGGAGCTATAAAAACAGCTGGCCAGGACAACTTCTTTTACTACTAAAAAAACTTGAATAATTTTATTGTCCAGATCCAAGATCTCAGTGAGCATGCACAAAAATTGATTGTAAAGGGAACACCCTCCCCCCCACACACACACACACATTTTAGTGTTTTTCCTCAAATTTAATTGAGAATACTGTGCTATGAGTTAGCATATAATTTATTATTTAGCAGATGGAAAAATAGGTCAGAGATATTAGGCCTGAAGCAGGATTTAGTTTGAAGTCTCACTTTGCCTATGCAAAAATCAACCAGTGTAAGCTTGGCCTGCAATTGCAGAGTATTAGCCTTGGAAGGGACCAGAGAAACAATCCATCTTAGGCCCCTTTCCTTTTTTTTTTTTTATACTTTCATTCATCCTTTAGTCCAAGGGTGGGGGAAGTCTGACTTTAGGGCCCCATAAAGCACGAGAAATCATTTGGTCTGGCCCTACCAAGGCATTAGAGATGAGTTAATTAAATTTTTGACCAAATATAGCAGGCTAATTTTTAAGTCGAAATTTTCTATCGCCCTTGAATGATGTTACAAATATCCAAATGTCCCTTGGAAGAAAAAAGGTTCCCACCCCCTGCCATAGACAAATTATTGAATGTCTTCTATGCCCTAAGCTCATTAATAGTTGCTAGGACATATCCTGAGAATACAATTCTCTCTGTCCTCAAAAATCTCATAATCCAGGACAGTGCCTCTTACACTTTACTGTCTGTGTACAGATCATCTGGGAGATCTTTTAAAATGTAGACTTAATTTGTTTTTTAATAAAAGGAAATTAGGATTTTTTTCCTGCAAAAAGTTTTATTGTTTCCATTTGGTCCAACACAGGGGAGATGGCTCCAGGGGGTTGAAAGAATGGCTAGAGGTTGCAGAGAGAGGCTCAGACAAAAACCAGATACCAGGGGGATGCAGAGAACCCCTCCAAGGCCTCTGGACTCCAAAGGCTCCTAGTGGTGCTTGAGGGTGAGCCCTGGGAAGATATACTCACCCAGCCCAGCCTGAGGGCTGGCCAAACTGAGGAGGTAGTCTGGTGGTCACTCATCTTCTTGATGAGTTTCACCTGCTCACCTAGGAAGTGGTTCTCTGGGAAGTCACAGAGTTGAGGGTTTGCACGAGTAGATTCAAAAGGACCTCGTTCAGGTTCCTCTCCAAGGCCAGGGCGGCTTCCACAGTGTCCTGAGTTTTGCCCACTCATATTGGGAAGGCTTCACTATGTCCTGGAAGAGAATGCAGCCACCAGGCTGGTTTTACATCTTTTAGAGATACTCAGTGCCCTAGCTCTTCTTCTTGGCCAAGTAAAGAAAGAAGTTGACCACGCCCTCCAGAGCCACATCGTTGGGGTGTAAATAGAAGCCCAGGGAGAGGTAGTGTAGGAGGTCCACAGATGCAAGTTGGTCAGGTGGAATCATTCTGAAGAATTTGGGAGCTTATGATTGTTGGACAATAAATTAAGGTAAAAAAAAAAACAAAAAAAAAAAACTGTTGGCTTGTTTTGGAGGCTGATAATGGCCAGGGTGGTTCTGAAGGTGAAATCTGGAGAAGAAGCTGGAAGGTGGTTATAGACTGGAAGAAGGGGTGTCCCTGGGCCTGTCCCATCCAAACCCTGTTGAAGCAAGAGACAGATCAGGGGACCACCGAGCACATTGCTGGGATGTGATTTCTTAAAAGCTTTACGTTTATTGTTGACACTATTATCAGATGTCCCCATTTTCCCTTCTTTTTCCCTCTACCCAGCCCTCACCCTCTCCTTTCCTCTGGCCATCGCTAATCTATAATCTAGTAGGTCTAGGATGGGGCCTGGGATTCTTCATTTCTAATAAGCTCCTAAGTGATGCCTTGGGGATTGATCTGGGAGGCAATGTGAGAATATTTGAAGTAGAGGGACCTCATGTGTGAAGGTACAGAGACAGCACTAATGATAAGAAGTTTAGTTGATGCTAGCAGGTTGACCTGCTATGGAGGAATTTGGAGTCCAAAAGTTAAGGGAAACTGTTATATTGATACTAGAAGCCCAGTGCACAAAATCGCACAGTCCCACCCACTCGTGCATGCCTCTCTGTGTGGGCTGAAATCACACGAGACTCCAGACCTGCCCCGAGAGATCCCCTGTATGGTGAGACCCATCAATGCACCTCTGGGTGATCAGTCATACAGTCGTTATGGCATTAAGGCATTAGAACCACAGGCCTTTTATAATATAGATAGGATGAACATCCTTAAGAAATTATCTTTATAAAAATATAATTTACTGTTTTCTGACTTCTTGGGTAAATATCCTAATGTTAACATATTATCATCACTCAATTTATTTTGTTAGGAGCCCAGACATAGCTAACATTAAGATGTAGAAATTAATATGAACTATATTGGAATTTAAAGATATTTCTGTTTTATTAACTTTTGGGAGTGTGGTGTTGGGCCTAAAATATACTTTTCTTCTATTTGCGCTAATAATCAAATTAATAGAGACAGATTAACAAGAGAAAATCAAGTTTTGATTGTGTACGCATGGAGAATTCACCTAAGTATAAAAATTCCAAAAACAGTGCTCTAAAATTGTGTATTTATATTGTTTTGGATAAAAGAGAATGGTGGGGTAGAGCTCTGAGATTTCAAAGGTGAGAATGGGCGATTTGCAGATAACTGAGGAGTAGTGGAACACATGGCAGCTACATTTTTGTTAGGCATTCCAGAAACAATGAGATCCAGAGGTGGGAGGACATAGGATTTGGTCAACAAACTTCTGCTAGGAGTCCTCTGTCTAATGCTAAGGTTCCCTTCCTGAAGCAGGTTCTTCCATCTGAATCTCTTAGGCAGGAAAAAGGGAGAGGGTCAGAGGTTCTTTCCAAGTCTTTTCTTTTTTAATATATATATATATATATATATATATATATATATATATATATATATATTTATTTATTATTATTGAATTCAGAGAGGAAGGGAGAGGGAGAGAAACTTCAATGATTAGAGAGAATCATCGACTGGTTGCCTTCTGAACACTCTTTACTGAGGGTCGAGCCCACAATCCAGGCATGTGCCCTGACTGAGAATCAAACCCTGACCTCCTGGTTCACAAGTTGATACTTAACCTCTGAGCCATGTGCCATGCCAGACAGATCTTTTCTTTTCTTTTTTCTTTTTAAATATTTTATTGATTTTTTTACAGAGAGGAAAAGAGAGGGATAAAGAGTTAGAAACATTGATGAGAGAGAATCATCATCAGCTGCCTCTTGCACACCCCCTACTGGGGATGTGCTCGCAACCAAGGTACATGCCCTTGACGGGAATTGAATCTGGGACCTTTCAGTCGGCAGGCCAACGCTCTATCCACTGAGCCAAACTGGTTTCGGCGAGGCTGTCTTTTCTTAATGACCAGGTTAAAAATAAGTATCCCCAAGGCAAAACTTTTGGTTCCCTTCAGAGGCTTTAAGTAAGCTCACTGATATTCAACTACCTAGATTTTCTTACAACAAAACGATCTTTAAAATACATAGCACTTACCAACACTACCTTATAATACATTAGAAGACAGTGGCAGCTATCCGCTGCAATCTTAGACTTATATCTCCTCAGAGAGTAAATGCATTGAACTTTCTATAGATTATTTCTACACTATGCCTAAAGTTACTACTGAACCCTTAATGATGGAAAGATAATCAACACAGATTTACATTTTATTGTGAAAATTTTTAATGTAAATCTCTGTAGAGTTCCACTTAACATATATTTGGCCTATGAATGACTTGGGCGATTATAAGAAAAATGAGAGAAGATAAGTCACTTGGCTAGTATAAGTTGAGGCAAAAGTAATGCAATGACAATAGTTGATGTCTTCTTAAATTCCTGAATACACTTTATATATATAGTTGAGAGAGCAAGAGAGAGAGCAAGAGAAAAAAAAAAAGAGAGAAAGAGAGAGAGAGAGAGAGAGAGAGAGAGAGAGAGAGAGAGAGAGAGAGAGAGAGAGGGAGAGAGAGTGTGAGTCTATTTTCTGTTGCAAATGTATTTTGAACCTTTCTGATCAAGCTTCTGATTTCTTTGGCTTCATTGTAATGAGTATGTCACACACTATAGAATATATCTTCTTGCTTGTGTACAGACTGTGTTGATCATAGAATGTTCAACCCATTCTATTTCTTCCTATATTCCTCTTCTTCGGAGGTTAGTGCCTGTTCATCTCTATGTCCTCACTCTGAGCCTGAGAGAGAGAGCGAGAGAGCCCTTCCATCTCTCCACCCTTTGTTTGCTTCCTTTTACTCTTGGCAGTTTCATTTCTGTGTCTGGCAGCCGCTGGGGAAACCTTTTCAACCTTCTCTGGCAGGCCCTGGGATAATTCTGGGAAACTTTACTGACTTGCCCTTCTAACCCCCTAGTGCTTTCTTTCCCTTGCAGATGTTTTGCTGTGCTTCTCATAACCATAAATGTATTTCAGATGAACCACTTTAGTTTACAGTTGCTGCAGCCTTTCTCAGGCTAAGGTTCCAAACAAGTTGTAACAGCTGCTAGGAGGCTGGCAGAAAGCCTTGATTGCTAATTCTGTGCTAAACTGCTTTTCACAATGGGACATCCTATAATATTGGATGTAGTCTTTAAAGCATATGATTTCTACCTTGTATTATTACTGCTTGCGTCATACTCATTCCTAGCTTTAAAAAGACTCTATGTCTGTACTTTCCTAAATGGGTTTGGTTTTATTTAAAGCTGAAGGTTCCCCAGATAATAAGGAAGTTATCATGGAGAAATAGGTAAGAGTGGGATCGGTCGGGTCAAGTAAGTTGATACATTAAAAAAAAAAACCAAAAAAAAAAAAAAAAACCTGAACCTTCTGAAAACATAATAAAGGTGAAAGCTGGTTCTCTTGGCTGTAATTCATAGAGATAGGAGGAAGGAAGTCTGCTTGGGTAAAATGTGAGCAGTTCCAGATGTTCTTAGTGTTTCCAGTGTCCTGGGATGGGGGCTGCTCAGCAGTTATGTGTGAGGTGACAAAGATGTGCTCAGAATCTCACAACTAAATTCACACAATAGTGAATCCACTGCCAGATAATGGAGAGTGATTTACTATATGTGTGACAAGAAGAGGGATGTGAGGTGAATGAGGAAATCAGCATCTGAATTATAACTACTAAAGGTTGCTTTATAAGTCACATTTGATCTGCTAGTGTCCCAAAATTATATCTGTTATGAAACACAAATTTTTTATTGCTTAAATTCTTACACATAATATCACATATATCTCCCCCCCCACACACACAACCAAGATGTTTTTAACATTCTAACAGAACCAAGCAATATTTTACTGTTTTATGACACACAAATTGTAAACTAAGTTTTATTGATGGATTTCTTATTACAAAGATATTTAGATCACAAATAATAACATTTAAAATATGTTTTTATTGCTTTCATAGAGAAAAGGAGAGAGATAGAAACATCAATGATGCGAGAGAATCATTGATCAGCTACCTCCTGCACATCCCCCTCTGGGGATCACGAGCCCTTACCCAGGCATGTGCCCTGACATAGAATCGAACCAGTGACCTCCTGGTGCATGGCTCAATGCTCAACTCCTGTGCCACACCTGCTGGGTCACCAACAACATATTTAACAGTAAAACATTATTTTCTAAATACACTCATATTAGAATACTCTTTATAATATATGTCAATAGACATGTTAATAAAGGATTTCCTGGTCAAATGCTGGATTAAACTAGTTTTTCTTTTAATGCAGGACTTCTCCAAACCTTTGATATGTTAATATTCACTGGGATATTATAATTTGGTGGTATCACAAATCTATTTTAACACAGAAATCTTTTTCTAGAGCATCTCCAGCCAGCAGGACTCTGAGAAATATGCATTGACAAAACAGCGTTCACCAGACACAAGCCAGTATGTACCCTGTTTCCCCGAAAATAAGACAGTGTCTTATATTAATTTTTTCTCCCAAAGTTGTGCTAGGTCTTATTTTCAGAGGATGTCTTATTTTCGGGGAAACACGGGTAGTAGCCTTCCGTCAGCACATCTGCAGTTACTCTTGTCTAACTCACCACACAGGTGTCATTGCCAGTGATGTGGTTTGATTTTATTGTGCACAAGAATCAGCTGAAGGTGATTGTCAACATTCAGATTCCTAGCCTGAGTTCTAAGAATCTACATGTCATCAAGCATCAAGTGAGATTTCTGATGCAGGTGACTATCGTCTGTACTTTGGGAGACACTATATTTGAAAGCTTGAGTCAACTTATAAATAAGAAAAGATGGAGGTAATTAATTATATACTTTTAAAATATATATATTTTATTGATTTTTTACAGAGAGGAGGAGAGAGGGATAGAGAGCTAGAAACGTCGATGAGAGAGAGACATCAACCGGCCGCCTCTTGCACACCCCCTACCAGGGATGTGCCCACAACCAATGTACATGCCCTTGACAGGAATCGAACATGGGACCTTTCAGTCCGCAGACTGACGCTCTACCGCTGAGCCAAACCGGTTTCGGCTAATTATATACTTTTTAAATTTAAATTTTTGTTAATTGATTTTAGAGAGAATGGAAGGGAGGAAGAGAGAGTAAGGAGAGAGGGAGAGTCTTCAATTTGTTGTTCCACTTATTTATGTAGTCATCGATTGATTCTTGTATGTGCCCTGATTGGGAATCCAACCCGGAACCTTGGTGTATGGGACAATGCTCTACCCAATTGAGTTATGAGGCCAGGGAAATTATATATTTTTGAAACAGAAAGTGTCAGAATACTGATATCAACATGTTGAAATTGGGACATCATGAAAGTTTAATAACAATAGGCCAGCTAGGTACAGATAAAGATTCTACAGTCACTTGTATATTAGTATCTGTAATACTCATGTGCCAAGCAAGCACATGAGTCATTAGTGCCTTAAAATACAGGGTGTACCCCCAAAAGGTATACACACTTTTAGAGCTGATAGCTCAATTTTTAAAATGAAATGTATTTTAATAAACACTGCTTTTATAACTATTCAAAGTGTGTGTATACATTTTTTGGAACATCCTATATTTGTGTAATCTGCACTTTTGAGCAAATGGCCCATAACTGAAAGCATTGAAGATGCCTCCAGGAATGTCAATTTCTACTTCCTCTTCCAGCAAAATTGTAGTTCTCTACACACAGCACAGGGCTTTGTGCTTCATGTCCTATGTCTGAAATGGCCCTTCGCCCTGTTTCTTCCCCTGACTAATGTGTTCTCTTGAGTATGAATTGAGTATAAATATGTATGGCTGGTTTGCAATAGGCATAACATGCTTATGTAGCTAAACAGGTAATGATTAAAGCCAGTAAAAGATATGCGGGTGTGTAGCTGTAAGAACAGGAATAGTATCTGTTAGTCTGAAGCAGCACTAAAGGTAGCCTGCCATCCCCAGGCAGCTTCAGAAGGACTCCAGTGACACGGGAAGCTAGGATATATAGCAATTCGGGATTGGATTAGTATGAGGAAGAGAATCAATTGAAGCTGTTTTCAGTTTCCAAGATGCTCCTTTTCACCTCACTGAATTTTGCTAATCATTGAAACTGGTTTGCTTGTTTGCTGGCAATCATTTCATTCCTTTTTTATTAATTTTTACACCTGCCTGGGTCTGGCTCAGCACAGTGCTTTACTGTGCATTAGTAATAATGACTGGTTTCTGACTGAATGGGGTGGTTCTTTCTACCAGGTAGACATACCTCTTGGGATTTCAGTCAAGGTACTTCTTAATCATTATGAAAATATAAATGAATATGATGCTCCTCCATTATTTCAATCATCACTACTTCTTTTCAATCTTCAGCTAAGGGAAGCAGCCTATCTGGCCAGCTCCCTTATTTGCATTTGGTGATACAATTCTTGTCAAGATGTCAAATATCTGCCACAATGGACATACTGTATATTGGTGGGTGGTTCTGCTGTTTGATAATGGAGAATTCTATTTAAGATTTTAGAAATGTTAGACTTTACTCCTTTCTAGTGTGAGACCTGCTTCCGGAGCAAAGAAAAGAAAGGATATTGCATTTAGCTATGAGTCATGAATGTCAGGACTTAAGTGTTTTAAGGGCTTTGTGGGAGCGGAAGAGGCAGTGGAAACAGGAAGCCAGGCTGCCATAAGCACATACATAACAAGTAATTAATTGACTACAGACGTGAGGGAACCTACAGAGAACATTAGCAAAATACTATTGTACATGAAATGTATTAATGTTAATATTGTGAACAGCTGGATGGCTGGAAGTTTGATAACGAAGCAAGTCATTTTAATTTGATCTAAGCTTCAGGTTTTAATTGAATTTATAAGAACATGGGAAAAATTAACAGGCAGCTTCTGGCAATTCAAAAACAATATTTTGGCTCAAGAGTCTAAGCTTCTCTCTAAATTTGGGAAATCTGACTCTGGATTAAGATGAAACAAAGGAAAATAATGCCAAGGATGGCAGATCTATGTCTCTGATTTTAAATACATGCAGATTGTCATCGTTTGTCAGAAATGTAACTAATCATATCTTACAGTGACTAATAAGTCAACTCAAATTCTTAGGTAGTTGATTGAATCAGCGACATGACTTTTTTCCTCTCTGACAAGTCACAAATATTTCAAAAAACCATAGTTCAAAGACCTTCAGAGAGGAGCAGTGTGCCGAGGCCAGTGATGAATCTTCTTTGTTAAAAGACCCCAGAAGAACTGGGCAAGAAACCTTTTTTCCCCCCCTAAATAATGGCACCCGGTGTCTTTTGACTAGAGCTAGAGAAGACTTATGTGTTCAAAATTGCTGCTTTCTACAAGAAATGTAAAAAGATAATCAGTTTTCTTTTCCTGAAAAGGGTGCCCTGAGCAATCACATTTGTATCCCAATAACCTCAATGTATAATCTAACCTGTCACTGTTTTGCATCCTTAGATGTAATGCTTTATCATCTTACTTCATCATTCATTAAAACAATGCCAAGCCAAGCAGGTTATTCCATGGCCAAAGATTTGAATCATATTCTGGAGAAAGGGGGTGGTGGGACCTAAAGATGAAGCATAATTTTCCTTCCCCCTGCAGAGGTGATGGATCTCTTCTGACCCACTTTACTCTTAGAAAAGAAAAGACTCAGTGGTTTGCACTCAGTTCCCAATTGAGATCAAACTGAAAGTTGATGTTTTTCAAAACCTGATGGGCAAGATTTTCTCAACTAAAGAAAAAGTCAGCTCAATAGTCAAGGGGTTTGCCCTAATTGTATTTATCTCAGTTGATTTCTCCCTTTATTTGTATTAACATGTTCTATGTAATTTTAATATATTGTCAGACTATTTTTTTTTTAATTCTCACCTGAGGATGTTTTTATTGATTTTAAAGAGAGGAAGGGAGGAAGAGAAACATCTATTGGTTGCCTCCTGCTTGTGCCCTGTCCAGAGATTGAACCAATCTTTTTGTGTATAGTATGACCATACAATCAACTGACCCAGGCAGTCAAGGCCAGACTTATTTTTATTATTTTCTTTTGCATGTGCCTATCCTAGACCTCATTCTAAATAAATTTGTGTAAGCCAAGAATTACCTCTCTTTAAGTTTTGCATCTTCTATATGGCAACTAGAAAACTTCCATGCACACTATAGGAACCTAATAGAAATAATTACTACAACGTGTCCATAAAAGTCATTGGGTAACCTCTATATTGGCAAATGGGTACTTGAAAAGTTACCTTGGGATTAGCATCCAGTGTAAAGTGTGGAAGTCCTTTTTGTTATTTTTCTTTTATAGAAACTTGTATGCTTTAGTATTGTTTATTATGTACATCATAGGTTGAAAATGGTAGATTTATACATAAAGATAAAAATTCCTTTTTATTTCCATTTTTAACTTAAATTTGTTGGGTTGACATTTCTTAATTAAATTATATAGGTTTCAAAGAATTACTTCTTTAAGTATTTTTTAAATTTTATTTCAGAGAGAGAGAGAAACATCAATGATAAAACAGAACCATAAGCCCTAACTGGTTTGGCTCAGTGGATAGAGCATCGGCCTGCAGACTGAATGGTCCCAGGTTTGATTCTGGTCAAGGGTATGTACCTTGGTTGCAGGCTCATCGCCAGTGGTGAGTGTGCAGGAGGCAGCTGATCAATGTTTCTCATTTATGCTTCTAACTCTCTATCCCTCTCCCTTCCTCTCTGTGAAAAATCAATAACATATGTTTGTTTGTTTTTTAAAAAAAGAGAGAACTATGACAAAATGTTGAACAAAAATAAACAGGAGTGAAGAAGCATGGAATAGACTGTCAAACTACAGCGGGAAAGTAGGGGGGGTTGGGGGTGGGTAAGAGATCAACCAAAGGACTTGTATGCATGCATATAAGCACAACCAATGGATGCAAGACACTGGGGGCGAGAGGACAAGGGCAAGTGCTGGCGAGGGGGTGGGGGGCCAGGGGATAGGGGAAGCTGGGGGGGAGGTCAGTGGAGGAGAAAAAAGAGAGAGATGTACTACTATTTGTAATACCTTTTAGGGGTGTCGAACTCAATCAGAGAAGGGGCCAAAATCTAAAATCCAGCCTAAATTGCAGGCCGAATGGTTTACTGAACAGTCATAAACTGTCATTGTGATGGAAACGCAGCGGAGTGCAGTGATGACAGCGAGGTGCGGGCCACATTGCAAGGCCTGGTGGGACGGATTTGGCCCGCGGGCCTTGTGTTTGACACATGCGCCTTAAACAATAAAATAAAAAATAAAAAATAAATAGCTGAAACCAGTTTGGCTCAGTGGATAGAGCAACGACCTGCGGACTGAAAAGTCCCAAGTTCGATTCCGGTCAAGGGCATGTACCTTGGTTGCAGGCACATCTCCAGTAGGGGGTGTGCAAGAGGCAGCTGATGATGATTCTCTCTCATAGATGTTTCTAACTCTCTATCCCTCTCTCTTCCTCTCTGTAAAAAAATCAATAAAATATATTTAAAAAAAATAAAATAAAAAATATAGAACCATGGATGGGCTGCTTCCTGCACACCCTCTGCTGGGGATCAGCAGAAAACCCAGGCATGTGCCCTGACCAAGAATGGAACCGTGACCTCACAGTCAATGCTCAACCACTGAACCACACCGGCCAGGCTTAAAGAATTCCTTTTTATTTTTTTATTTTTTTTAAATATATTTTATTGATTTTGTACAGAGAGGAAGGGAGAGAGATAGAGAGTTAGAAACATCGATGAGAGAGAGTCATCGATCAGCTGCCTCTTTCACATCCCCTACTGGAGATGTGCCTGCAACCAAGGTACATGCCCTTGACTAGAATCGAACCTGGGACCCTTCAGTCCCTAAGCCGACGCTCTATCTATTGAGCCAAACCGGTTTCGGCAAGAATTCCTTTTTAAATAACCTTGAAAATGCATCAATGAAGGCTTCAAACTTTAAGAATTTTATTTCTTAAAGGGTCATATCCTAAATGTGGAACATAATCAAGCTCTGACTTCAGAGGTTTTGATCAAACTGGCTCCAGATTTTTTTGATAATTGGTAATGGTGTCTGCTGATATAAGTGATGGTCTATCACTGCTGCTTTGGTGAATCATGGTTGGTAGTACAGAGTAGAGAAGGCTGGCAGATGTGGCTCACTTGGTTGGACACTATCCTGTATACCAAAGGGTTGCTGGTTTGAGTCCCAGTCAGGTCACATGCCTGGATGTGGGCTTAATTCCCTGTGGGAGGCATGCAGGAGGCAGCTGATCGATGTTTTCTTCACATTGTTGTTTCTCTCCCTTTCCTTTTCTCTCTCTAAAACTCTGTAAAAAATATATTTGAAAAAAGAGTAGATGAGGATTCAGAAATATACAGCTGCTACTTAAGCCAAGGAATGAAAGAAATTTTGGAGGATACAGTCAGTTCTGGTTATCTATGTACACATAGATAATTCACAGCGCAGGATGTATTTTAAATTTCATAAATGGCTAGCTTTTCTTTGTTACCCAGTCTTTCACCTCTTCCCTCTATCAATACTATAGTCTTTGGAAGCTTCCACTTAGTTTGATATGTAGATTCAATAAAATATAACCAGCAAGGTAAATTTCTGGAGAAACAGCTGCTTGGAATGAAAAACAAAACACATCCCTATTATATAGTAGATTCCAGGTTGTGGGAAAATGTGCTCATGAGCTCATGTAGTACTGCTTTTGCCTTATTTGCATGCACCTGCAGAATTCAGCTGGATCAGCTAATCAGTAATTCTTTGTGAAGAACAGTGAACACTGCTCACACTTAATGCTGGGGAACACACAAGACTTGGTTGGAAAGTTTGTAAGGAGGGCATTCTGAGAAAAGGGAAGTGAGTGGAAGGTGCCTGCCCTGTTTATGGAAATTCCTACTTAGGGGAGATTTAGGGGGGTGTCAAAGTTCCCTATTTATTCCTTGACCTTCCCAAACAAGCCTGTTTATGTGCAGACCCTGGGTGTTACTGGAATCCTTATGCTTAATCCCTGGATGCCTTTGCCTAGAGGACAATGTAAACATGTGTCCTCCCAAGATTACTCACCCTACTGATTACACCTAAAGATAAAAATTCCAATAAAGGCCTAACGAGGCAGGCAATTGAGACTGCCTGGCTCCTATAGCCAGGCCATCCCTTAGCCTCTCTTTCACAGTGAAACTGTGTCAGAGTAATCTGTTCATCTGTCATTCAGGGGCTGCTGGTCTACTATAGATATTGGCCAGACAGATTTTGGACCCCATGAGACACTGCATATTTTCAATCTGTTTCATCAGTTGCTGAACAACATGTAGAAAACAGGTCATCAGAATTATTGCAGCAATACTGATGGATTGAAAAGTCCTGAAAGTGTGTGTTAGTGACTTCTCTGTTCTGGACCCTATATGGAATACACTCTAAGTAAAACAAAAGCTAATCCATGAAGGATTGCATATGGAATGACTGGGTAGCATGATGCTGACTGCAACCCCCTCCTTGATACATTTATTAATCTTTAAAAAGTGCAGTCTTAGTGGAATGTCCTTGAATCATGGTTGCTATCTAAGTAAAAATGCGTTAAGAGCCAGACAACTTAGAATCACTTATTTTTAGACTGATTTTTTTCCTTGCATCTGACAATTCTTTGTGTGTATTTGTCTTATCTCCTTACAAACACTTTCAGGAGTGAGAGCAGAACTGTCTTGTCTTTTGTATTCCCTACAGGTTGTGCAAAGTGGTATGCACATGCTATGTACTTGATAAATGCCTTTGCCTCATTGAATAACCTGGTGAATCTGTGTTTTCTTCATGCACCTCGGTGTCTGCTTCATTTCAAGACACATAGTTATCTTTTATTTTTTTAAGTATATTTTATGGCCTTTTTTATTTTTACAGAGAGGAAGGGAGAGAGAGTTAAAAACATTGATGAGAGAGAAACATCAATCAGCTGCCTCCTGCACACCCCTACCCCCTACTGGGGATGTGCCCACAACCAAGGTGCATTCCCTTGGTGCAATGGAACCTGCAACCCTTGAGTCTGCAGGCAGATGCTTTATCCACTGAGCAAAACCTGTTAGGGCTAGTTATCTTAAATAAATCAGGAGATGGGGGCTTCCATGGCCCATTTTACTAACATTTGTCACTCTCAACATGAAGGGGTTCTCCCAGTACCTTCTTTCCAATAGCATTCTCTCTCTCTCTCTCTCTCTCTCTCTCTCTCTCTCTCTCTCTCTCTCTCTCTCCCTCTCTCTCTCTCTCTCTCCCTCTCTCTCTCTCTCTCTCTCTCTCTCTCTCTCTCTCTCTCTCTCACACACACACACACACACACACACACACATAATTAGGTCTCTAAAACACTTCCTTCAATTTCCTTATCCTTTAAAATAGTGCATGCTTTGCTATTTAACACATGGTAGCAATTTTATTTAAAAACTAGAGGCCCAGTGTATGAAAATTCATACACTGAAGGGGAGGTCCTTCAGCCTGGCCTGCCCCTCTCAGAGTCCAGGAGCCCTTGGGCAGAAGGCAACCCAGTGATCATGGGAAAGTGACACTCCATCGCACCTCTGCTACTGCCACTGCCGGCAGTGCAAGCCTTGGGCAGCCCTGGGTGGCTAGGCAGCTGCCATCTGAGGCTTTCCTATGCCTCAGGCCAGCCCTATGTGGCCGTGGGGCTGAGGGGACTGGGGGACTCCAGAGGTAGGCATGCAGGGCAGGCCTGGCCTTGCCACATGCCTGCCACCCTGGCAGGGCTGAGGGGACTGGGTGCCACCATCTTGTGGCTGTGGGTGCCACCATCTTTGTGATGGCATGAGGGTCAATTAGCATATCCCATCTTTATTAAATATGACTAGAATCCCAGTGCACAAAATTTGTGCATGGTGGGGGGGGGGGGGGGGTCATCAGCCCAGCCTGTACCCTCTCCAATCTGGAACCACTTGGAGGATGTCTGACTGCCAGCCCTAACTAGGTTGGCAGCAAAGGAATTGCTGCCTCATAACCACTAACCATCCTGCCTGCCTGATTGCCCATAACTGCTTCTGCCTGCCAGCCTGATCATCCCCTAACTGCTCCCCTGCCAGTCTGATTAACAACTAACTACTCCCCTGCCAGCCTGATTGCCCCCAACTGCCCTTCCTTTCCAGCCTGTTCACCCACAATTGCCCTCCCTGCTGGCCTGTTCTCCCACAACTACTCTCTCTTGTAGGCCTAGGTCCCCCCAACTGTCTTCCCCTGCATTCCTGCCCCCCCCAACTGCCCTCCCCTACTAGCCCGATTGCCACCAACTGCCCTCCCCTGCCAGCCTGATGGCCAACTGCCCTCCCCTGCCGGCCTGTTTACCCCAACTGCCCTTCTCTCCCAGCCTGTTCAACCCCAACTGCCCTCCCCTGCAGCCTGTTCACCCCCAACTGCCCTCCCCTACTGGCCATCTTGAAGTAGCCATCTTGTGATGATGTTGCATGAGGGGATCGTGCCACCAAGGCTTTTATTATCCTATCTAATAAAGAAGGAATATAGTAATTGACTGCCCCTCCCTCAAAGATGGCAGTGCCCATAGCCAATAAGGAGGGAATACGCTAATTACTTGCCCTGCCCTCAAAGATGGTGGCACCCACAGCCATAAGATGGCAGCATCCAGTCCTCTCAGCCCTGCCAGGGTGGCAGGTACACAGCAAGGCCGGCCTGATCTTGCTCCCAACTTCCCTCCCTAGTTAGCCTGGTTGTACCCAACTGCCCTCTCCTGAAGGCCTGGTTGCTCCCAACTGTCTACACACTTGCCTCTTGAGTTCTCTAGTCCCCTCAGTTCTCTAGCTTCCCAGGGCCAGTTTGAGGCATAGGCAAGCCTTGGATGGCGGCTTCCAGCCACCCAAGGCTGGCCCAATGTACAGGCAAGACTTGGATGGTGGCTGCCCAGTCACCCAGGGCTGCCCAAGGCTCAGATTACCATGGCCAGCTGAGGCTTGCACTGCCAGCAGTGGCAGCAGCAGTGGAGGTGTGTTGGAGCATCACCTTCCCCTGATCACTGAGTAGCCTCCCACCCCTGAGGGCTCCAGGACTGTGAGAGGGGGCAGGCCAGGCTGAGGGATGAACACCCCTCCAGTGCATGAATTTTCATGCACTGAGCCTCTAGTAAAGGATATGATTGCTTATTTATTATATATTTTCTTTTGGCATCTGTCTTTAAACATTTTAATAGACAGTGACTATGTGTGAGAATATGTAATATGTAAGTTAATGAATGAGTGTATCTTGAATTTGACCTGTGAACATTAGTACAAGTTTTATGGAAGTGTCCTGCTGATCTTCTGCCTTATAGGAATCCAAATGCTACAGGATAGTCTTTCCTCTTTTTCTAATTTAAGTAGAAGAAAATACTTCTTTACTGTTCCTGTTAACTTCAGGAAGGCAGAGACTGTGGCTTTGATCTCCATTATCCAGAACAGTGCTTAAAACATAATAGATCATCAATGAATATTTTTACTAGAAATGAATACAAATGAAAGTAATACAATGAACCATGCTGACCTTCTAGTTGTTCCTCAAACTGCTAATTAATTTCCCACCTCAGGGCCTTTGTACTTGCTGTTTCCTCTAGATACCCATGAGATTAATTCCATCATTTTATGTTTTCCCTCTACAGTCTATTAAAACAGTCTACTTCCAACTACCCCACTCTAATCACTCTTACCCTGCCTCACTTTTTTTTTCATAGCACACTATAACATTTTATTATATCATTATGTGTTTAATGTTTTCTCTCTCTTTCCTCTCCTTGATCTACTGCATCTATAGACTATGAGGCCCATAAGCCCTGGAACTGAGTCACTCCAGGGTCTCACCAAGAAACAGAAATCCTTACAAATGGGAGCAGGCTGACAGCTGTCAGAGGGGAGGGCTGAGGGGAAGGCTGGATGAAAGAAGGTGAAGGAAGTAGCTAAAGAACACATGTATATTACCCATAGGCGCAGGACACGGGGTGGTGTTGTTCAGATGGAAGGGGGAAGGAGGACTGGGCAGAGATGGGCAAAGGGGATAAAATGGGGACATCTGTAATAGTGTCTACAATAAAAATAAAGTTAAAAAAGAAACCAAATTCATAAAAATCCTACCACCATATATAACAAGTTAAAAATCCACAAATGGATTTCAGTGTTGTTATATCCTGTGAAAATAACTTTCATAATTCTGATTGGTTGTCTGACATAACAATTTGTAGCTTTGTTAATAATATTTAAAACAGCATGTTGATTTCCGGAAGAAAAAAAAAAAAAGAAACCCTTGCAGATGATACAAATAAAGGCTTTAAAGAAGGGTTACTTCCAGCAATCTGGGCAGGGGTATAGGGATAAACAAGGTACATTGAAACTAGACCTGAAAGGTCAAGAGAAAGAGAGAAGTGAGAGCTGGATCTGGGAAGGAGGTATTCCCTGGAAAAAAAAATTTAATCTTGGAGGAACTCAACTACTGACATAAAGAGACAGGGCCGGGAAGTCAGAAGCAGGAGAAGAAATTACCAACACTTGTCTTTCCCTGTATTCTCTTTCTTATCAATGCTCCTATTGTTAAAACCTGTGCAGGAGCCAGCTGTCAAGGAGCCCAGGTGAAGCCACTCTTGGGGAACAGAAGAGGTTGGAGAATGCATCCTGTGAAGGAAACAATAAATAGCATTGTTTGGCTTACTGCTGTGTCTTTCATGCCCAGAACAGTACCCAGCACACTTTAGGTACTCATTAAATGTTTGTTACATAAAAAAAATCAGTGGTAGTGGAGGTTTGGGAGCAAAGGAACTGTGACATTGATCCAGGATATTATTCTATATAATAAAGAGCTAATATGCTAATTAGATTGGGTGGCAGAACGACCATCCAGAATGACCAGTGGGCTGGGCTATGGGGCAGCTGGGGCTGCAAGAGCCAAGCCCCTTGCACAAATTTTGTGCATCAGGCCTCTAGTCATATCATATAGGTCTCAGTTCTTATTTTGGGGGGAGAGTAGGTGTCCAAAGCTTATGTTTATTTATTTATTGTTAAATATATTTTATTGATTTTTTTACAGAGAGGAAGAGAGAGAGATAGTTAGAAACATCGATGAAAGAGAATCATCGATCAGCTGCCTCTTGCACACCCCCTACTGGGGATGTGTCCGCAACCAAGGTACATGGCCTTTGATCAGAATTGAACCTGGGACCTTTCAGTCCATAGACCAAAGCTCTATCCACTGAGCCAAACCGGTTTCAGCTAAAGCTTATGTTTAGAGAAATTCACAGCCAGCCACCCTGGAAGGAAAGATAGTCAGTGCCTTTTGTTTATCATATCAATATAGTGATCACTTAGGTTGTAATTTATGGGTTGGAGATTACTAGTCAAAGATCCTGGGATACATGGCATCTGAATCTGAAGTAAGAAGACTGAAAGTGATTAGCACTAAAGTGGTAGTTGAAACCATGAGAGATGATAATGCCACCTAGAGACAATTTGCTGAGCGAGAAGAAACACAGCTCCTTGGAGCTACTCCTCGCATCACCTGTGAACAAACCAGGAGCAAGCATGCTGTGGGCTTGGTGCCAGCTCTGAGTGTGTGGGCTTGGGATGAAGTGTTCCACAGACTGCACAGCATGGAGCTCAGAGTGACCTGAGAAGCAGGGTCAAAAGGAGCATCTCTGAGGAATCCCTTTGAACACAGTTTCAAAACCATTGCTCTCATCATTTTGTAAATGATGGAACAGACCCAAAGGAATGAATGAACTTGTCTGGAGTAGAATTTGGACTAGACTCTACCTTCTCCTATTTCCTAGCCAGAGCATTCTTGATGACACTGTCCCACTGCTCGTGAACCTAAAATCAATTGCCCTTTAATAGAAATCTCCCAGAATGTAGACTTTTAGGCTTTATTTCTCCAATAACATTCACCCTTACATGATTCCTTTCTGTCCTTCACATTTCTTATTTGTTAAAAGATAAAAGGAGCCGGGACCGGTTTAGCTCAATGGACAGAGCGTCGGCTTGGGGACTGAAGGGACCCGGGTTCGATTCCAGTCAAGGGCATGTACCTTGGTTGCGGGCATATCCCCAGTAGGGGGTGTGCAAGAGGCAACTGATCGATGACTCTCTCTCATTGATGTTTCTAACTCTCTATCTCTATCCCTTCCTCTCTGTACAAAATCAATAAAATATATTTAAAAAAAAAATAAAAAAATAAAAGATAAAAGGATGTGTCTTTTTCTACCCACCTCACAAGTTGTAGATTAAATAAGAAAGTGCGGGGGAAACTGGTTTGGTTCAGTGGATATAGCATCAGCCTGAGGACTGAAAGATCCCAGGTTCAATTCCGGTCAAGGGCACGTACATTCCCAGTAGGGGGTGTGCAGGAGGCAGCTGATGGATGTTTCTCTCTCATTGATGTTTCTAGCTCTCTATCCCTCTTCCTTCCTCTGTGTAAAAAAATCAATAAAATATATTTTTAAAAAATAAATAAGAAAATGTGACTTGCTTAGAGATCCTGGGAGGGAAGTTGTATTGCACATTCACTATATTACCTGTGAAAAATATAAAGGCTTTTATGGAGACACCATCAACCAGAATTGGAAATGAAAAGTACTGAGATGTTTAATAATGCTAAATTATAATATTACATGTAATTTTCAATAACTTATTTACAACCTGGAATTATGTTTCTAAGATTCATCATGTTATTATATTCCTTTACTGCTGCATAATATTCCATAGTCTGGATATACCATTATTTATTGTAGTTTAGGGGTATATGTATATGTAACAAAATTAGAGTCTTTTTAAAAAGCAAGCAGATGATTTTTAAGCATCAGCATAGTAATGGCCTTTTAAGGGGATATAGGGACTTCAGATTAAAAAGAAGCCCCGAGGCAGCTTTAACATTAGCACTAATATTTTGTTGCAGTGATTCTTTAAATCAGGGATGGGGAATCTTTTTTTCTGCCAAAGGACATTTGGATATTTCTAACATCATTCATGGGCCATACAAAATTATCAAGTTAAATTTTTGCCTGCTATATCTGGTCAAACATTTAATTAACTCATGCCTAATTCCTTAGCTGGTCCAGACCAAATGATTTTGCGGGCCTTATGTGGCCCACAGGCTGGATGTTCCCAACCCCTGAAAATGTATAATATCAGCATCATCTGGGATCTTGTTAGAAAGTCACCTTTTGGGATCTACTCAGGCCTAGTGAATCAGAAACCGTGGGAGTGCATCCAGTAATCCTTGTTGCAACAAGCTCTCTAGGTGAGTCTGGTGTATGCTGAAATCTGAGAACCACTGCTGTAGTGTTATGCTTCATAACTAACATGTATAACATGTAAGCTACTCGCTTGTTCTTTCTCTTTCTCTCTCATATTTCATAATACAAAATAAAATGAAACACTTGAGCATTCACAGGACAATTGGGAGGAAGAAAGGAAATGGAAAGAATGTAGCCTCAGAGTTATTCAGGAGGAAGATGAAGGTGAGATAAGAGAAGATCCTTAAGAGAATAGTTGAAAATATAGAGTGCATGTCGAAGTATATGCATATATGGTGTGTTGTGCCTATGTGCACTGGCGCTTTAGAATGATATCTTGCTTGGAAAGGTTAGCAAGTCCCATTGGTAGAGATAATTCCTCCCCCTCTCTACTTACCCCTGCTTCTGAATAATTTAGCCCCAGCAGGGAAGAATTTATTCTCACCACAGGACATAACTGCTGTTATTCAAATAGATCTTGCTGCTGTGGCCAGACAAAGGAAAGGAATCTGTATCATCACTACCTGGCTCTCCCAATCCATTTTTTTTCATTTTCATTTGGGAGCTGCAGTTGCCTTTGCAAACTATCTCTTTTCCCTGCTGCTAGCATCACATACCATAATACTGAAAGTGAACACTCACACAAAGGGGGGAAAAGCATAGTCTTTATTTATTTTGAAAGAAACCAGTTATTAACTGAACATTTATTCTTAAATGGCTTACTGGTGTT